GTGCAATTAATTGATTTATTGACTATCGCGACAGGCCTATTCTCAAACATGCATGAATGAGTCAAAGCAAGGCTTTGGGCATGTTTTTGATGAGAGTATAACATTATAACATGATATAAAACTCAAAAAAGTTGATTTTACATGATACTGCCCCTTTAAATAATCATACCTTTGCTCTACTCCTGGACATACAAAACCATAATATTGTTTATTTCAAGAACTGAAGTAGCAGAATCGCATGGAGCCCGCGAGGCGACATGGGAGAAAAACAAAATAAAAACGGATCCTGACTTTCTTTCTTAGGATCCCGAGAAAGAAAGAAAGTCGGGATCCTGAGAAAGTAAGAGGTTTATTTTTTCCTCATTTTTTTATTAAAGAAACTTTCTCAGGATCCTGATTTTCACAAATGGATGTTATTAGCTGTTATCAGTCCCATGCAGTCTGTCCCTCCTCTACCTAGTATCTTGGAAGGTAGCCTACTTATCATTTGTATGGCTGATAGTTTGCATTAAAGCTCAGTGGGTTTTTCTCCTCCCCCGGGACTCAGAGCTCCAGCGGTCGGCCCGGCTCGCTGTCCTTTTGCCAGAGGAAAGCACTCTGTCTGCGGCATGCTGATTCAGGCTGTAGCCGGGGGTCGCCCCAGACATTGCTAACAGTTGCTAACAGAGTTTTCTGGGACTGTCCAGATATGTTTCCTACTGAAACTCATGTTTTTAGTTTAATTTATTTGACGACGAGAAAGGGGAATATATTTAATTGTAGAAAAACAACTATTAAACCATCAGTGCGATTTGGCTCATATTTCTGTCTGTGGAAGCTAAGTGGTAGAATTCCCCTGAAAGTTTCATCAAAATCCAAGGTGGATTTGTTTTATTTTCATATTTTACAGGCAAATGAGCCCTGCAATGGAGGTTAGCCTCAGAGGTTGCATTAATGGAATATTTTCCATTTTTGATGAGTCTTTTTACACAGTGACGGAAAAATCAGAAGACGGGCCGTCATTTTGACAGATTGCAATTAACACCCCTAACCTAAATAAGCCAGATGAGGTGGAGAAAAAAAAAATCAACGAGGCTTCACAAGAAAGCAAGCTCTGCGGCACCATACTCACACAGACATTTTCAGCCCTATGTATGGAGTAGGTCTACACATCACGGAGGTGTCTTATTTTATCTAAAATAAATAAATGATTCCCATCTGATCATCGTCTCAGATCTAGACACCATACTGAATGCATCTCCAGGAGCTGACAGCACGGTGAGGAACGACAGGAGGCTGGAGTGTGTTTGTGAGGCACAGCTGAAAGTGGCGCTGCGGGAACGCACGCTGCGGGATTTCCTCCTGCTAAAGCAGGTTGTGGGTAGAGCTGGGTGATATGGCCTAAAATCAATATTGCGATATATTGACTAGTTCACCTCGAAAACAATAAATGCACAATAACTCTTACCWCCCCCCAACACAAGTACACGGTATAGTATAGTCATAACACTATACACTGTGTCCATGTTCTTAGTYAAAGTACACAGTTTAGATTTTGAACAGCTTTTCTGTAGTTTATATTTGTCATTTTAGTTTTTTTAATATTTAATAAAAAACATTTTTGGCAAGACTTGAGTCAGATATAGTGAAACAATTGTTTAACCTTCTCCATATTATAACTATTCAGTGCAAACAAACACATTATGTATAACTTTATATTAAAAAAATATGTCTTTTGTACTGCACAAAATAACTTAACTAAATTTTTTATATGTTAGACTGACCGATTTCTCTATTAAAATGACTATTTCTTTCAAAAATAATATATTATTTAGATAGCTCATGTAATTATTTAATACAATTTATTCTTCATATTTGATCATTTATTGAATCACAGATCAGTTCAGTCACAGTATGGGTTTAAAGCTATATTGTAAAGAAGGAAATTTGTAGATGTTCATGATAAAATACATAGCGGGAACATAGCAGGTTTTTTCCTTTTGGGGGGGGGGTAACGCTAAGCGGAGACTCGTCTTTTCTATAATATGGGACAAACAAAGGTTCATCTGTTAGAGTTATAATGTTTCATTAGAAGAGCTTAAACAGCAGCTCTCACAGAACTCAGTCTGTGTGCACCTTGCCTCGCTCCTGTAACAGCTCTGTCGAGGAGAGGAGTTTGGTCACGTGAGCTAAGTTGGATATAATCTGTTCGACAATGAAGCTCTGAACACATAAACTTATAGTCTGTTAGATTTTAGATACCAACATCTCGGGTAGCTCAGGAGCAAAGTGTGGAGGATGGGGTTTGCTCACTCAGGATGGCAGCTGCAGGCTGACTGGTGTTTATCCTGACTGCTTCACCGACATCAGAAAGACCCGCCCTGCTCTGCTCTGATTGGATAAACTAAGCTGTGGGATTCGTTTGATTTGTTGAACACAATGTCTGTATCCGACTAGGCTACTTGAGACCGCAACAGAAAATGAGCAGGTTTCTCTTTTCCTCATTTTTTTTTAATACTGAAAATACCGACACGGGCAAAATGACGTCGGTTATTGACATAAATTTCGGTATCGGTTATTTTTCTGTTTATCGCCCAGGCCTAGTTGTGGGATTTGGACATAAAATCTTGCTGACATCTGATCACTTTGACTGGAGAAATGTTTTCTGATTTTAAAACTTCTGCTGAAGTGGTGCTTGTTATTCCAACAGTGTCACAGCAGAGTGCGGGTTTAGTCTTCAGAACCACTGGGGCCTGCAGATGTAGACTCACTGTGCATAACTTAATATTTTATTTTATTGCATAAATCAAATCCATACTCGTTTTCCATTTTGATTTAATAATATTTTTAACATGGTGGCAGCAGTGCATTGTGATTAACAGCTGACTGCATCTCTGCCTTCATCCCTTTCCCTCTTCTTTCGTCCTCCTGCAAAGGAGGCAGAGACAGAGGCATTATCTAATGCTGCAAACTGCAGCCACTAAATAACGTTTGTAGATGTTTTTATTTTCTTTTTTTGACTTTTTGTAAGGTAACCGAGTCAAAAGCGGGGCAGTGTGTGTGTGTCACATTGTGCACATCACATTATGCGCATTGTGCCTGGTACGGGACAGATGCGCTGTTTTTCAGCATCATGCGCTCCTGTGGCCTATAGTGTGAGGTGCGCTGATGAGATTTTCTCCAATTAAATCCTGCAGGTGCCGCATCTGAGGCAAAACTGCAAAACTAACATGACAATAGCCACATTCTATTGATTGTTTAGTCATTATCATTTAAAAAAGGAAGTGACGGGTAAAAAATGATTTTTGTTTACCCTGTCAGTCAAATTGTTAGTCAAATCCTCTGCCCTCCCGTCCCCTCTTCTGTTGCCCAGGAAAGAGAATAAATATCCGAGAACCGCTGGACAAGACCTCCAAGCAGCCAAAATGTCAAGTGCTTTGTTTGCGGCATGACAGCTCGATTGGAGCCATGCGCCCGCTCGTGCTCTGTATCATTTCAAACGTTAATAAACTGTTCTCTGTGGTGTAATAAACATTTTTAAAGAGTAATAAACATTTCCTGAAAGTTTCACATAAATCCATTTGGTACTTTTTGAGATATAAACCTGAGAAGGCAGCTGTCTAGCTTTTGCAAAACTACCTAGTTGTCAGGGAAATCKTAAACATCCGGTTACACTGGGTGGTTCTGGGTAATGACGTTCAAAGTTGGAGCGTGAGCCAGGCTGACCCACATCCCGGGTGAAGAGATAAACCCACTTCGTCTTAATGCATATCGGCCATAAAATGATTGATAAGTGCCTTCCAAGCTAGGAGGTAGAGGAGGGACCGTCTAGACACAGTGTGGGACTGATAACATCCATTTAAGTAAGTCGGGCTGTGTCTAAAACGACAGGCCGGGTCCTTGGTAGACCGGGAAGACCGGAAAAAAAGAGGCTGTGAATTTGGACGGTCTAGCCTCCCCTCCTTACCCCGGCGTACGTCTTGTCACCTAGCAACTGTGACGACGCTAAACAAGCAAACTTAAATCGCTTCGTCCGCCATTACTAGCATAAAAAAATCTCCGGTCGGGCCGCAATGCATTATGGGATATGCTGGGTCAGTCCTTCGATTCGGGCCAAAGGAAGGACGTATTTGTCGGCCGCATCGGAGGAGTCTTCGGTTTTGGACGTCCTTCGTCGCGGCGCTGTGACGTATGCGGG